ACTTGTGTTTTTTGTATGTGGAGGGGCAGATATCGAAGAAGGTAAATGGTCTGATTATTTATTTTGTAAAAAAAAATATTTAGTAAATTTGGTGTTCACGCTATTCTTATAGTGCGAGGCTATCACAACGGGGGACTTGGTTTCGCAGGTGAGTGTGGGTCTGCCAGTTGGGCATGATGTTGCTACTATGTGGTGGTTTTTACCTAACGAAATCATTTGTGAGTAGCGTTTTCAAAATTGGCAAACTCGGACCGTGACGCTGGCACACATTTGCCAGCTCTATTTTCGAACAAAGTCTCAGGATCTTCAACGTCCGCTGTAAAGCAGACGGTGCGTAGTTTATGTTTTGATACACCCGTGGTATTAACCAGGGCCGCCGCTGCGCTTGGAACCGTGGAACCTCGGCAACAAATGGCGAACGCGCTAACCGCTCGGCCACGTCACCGTGATGTTCCACAACGCGTGCGGTTTGACCCGGGCCAAGCCATCTCTGACCGGTGGGAGGAATGGCTGAAGAAAAAAAAACAGAGAAAGAAATAGATTCCACGCCCACCTCCCATGTGCGCTCTTCCCCCTGCACGCAGAAATGTCCCGAGCCTCGAGGGCACCACCAGTTTGGTCACTTAAACAAATATTGGCTTTGACTTTCGAGTTTCTCCGTTTTGAAAGCGGGGCACAGTGGCAGCTAAAAAATAAATAAATAACACAACATGAACCATTTTTATGCTCAAGGAGAGGTAGACAGTGACCGCTGTTCACAGATGTACTGGACTGAGCTTTTATAGCTCATTGGATTTCTCCAGTATAAATACATATTCCGATTCTGTTCAGCGATTCCAGGGCTCACATTTCAGTCGGGTCGAGACGACGCTCGGCGGCCTTTCTGCGAAAGCAAGACGCCTGTAAGAGAGGTCAAAAGATGTGAAGGAGCAGCCATGCGATTACTTGCGCACACCACTGCTAGAGGGCCTCCTCACTGGAGGCGGCTCTACAGACATCCTCTGGAGCAGGGGATGGCAACCCGCGGCTCCGGAGCCGCACGCCGCTCTTCAAGGACCGCTTCGTGGCGTTATTTATCAAAGAACCGCCATTTCGTATTCACCAGGTGCACTGCGGCTCTTGAAATAGTGAGGCTTTTTTTTTACTGAATTCCAAAAAAAATGGCTCATTATTTTGGTTGCCGACCCCTGCTCTAGAAGGTATTTTGGCCTACTCTTTCATGCTGGCCAGATGTCTTGTTAGAGATGGGAGTACTCAATTATTTTGTTCTGCTGAATGGACTGAGGCAGTTGGGGGGGGGGGTTTAAGAAACGTATTGTTTTGACTGTCGCATCAGGAGGTTGAAACAACGGCTCCCATATTTGCAAGCCCGGCACAGCATCACGAGAGACGCATGTGCACAACAAGGAAAATCAGGCGTTGCTCCCATGTCCTGGCCATCGTGCTGTTTAACCTGACAGTTGTGTACATTCCACATTCCTATGGCGTAAAGTAAAGCCTTATTCCACCAACCAAGAGAGGCAGCAATGTTAGGTACGTGGGCACGGGTGAGAAGGCAATGTCAACGTCAGGGACACTAAACTCCTCGCAAAGACGCTGCCGTGTACTATCGCGTCGCCAAATAATCCTGCTATAAATAATTGCATCCCAGATCTAAAAAGTAAATCGGGTTGCGCAGAATTACTGCCTAAATCATCTTACTTATATTGCATTACAGAGGATTAGACTCTGCCTGCTGAATGTCGGCCCGACACTGAAATATTTATCGATGTTAATGATCCACTCGCGTTATTTCCGATACGATCATTTTCACCTGCAGCCACATTATTTATCTGCGCTTGGTGTCAAATCGTTCTATTTCATGCTAGGTAAAAACGACGAGTCACATCAACCCCCCCACCCCCGCTGTTCATGAAGAATACATAAGGGTGAAGTCTGGTCCAGGAAATGACCATACACCCCAAGGCACACGTAGGGCCAATTATGACTCAACTAATTTTAATTTTACCAGGTAATCCCCACTGGGCTGTATAGCTCTTTTTTCAGAAGTGACCTGGCCACAAATGACGGCCCAATGAAGTGGCTTATCATGCGCAAATTTATAGCAGCCAAATACTCTAAGCGCATGTTTCTAAATGTGGAGGGGAAAACCGGAGGACCCGGAGAATAATCCACAGGACCACGGGGAGAACATGCAAACTACAAATATACAGACGTCAGGGTCAGGATCGATCCCACGACATGCTGTATACCAGGCGAGGTGGTTAACATCTCACCAACGTGGCACCTACATTTATAAATACAACAATAACAACATCGTGAGTAGGAATCACAATTGCAAGTACATTGTAATCGTTAATTGTAATTCCTTATGAATGACACAAAGGAAATTGTAACCGAGTCTGGGTCTGACCTCAGACACCTGCACTTCACCAATATTGTCATTGGCAAAGATAAATAAATCCGCATTTGGATGAATGCCTCCACAAGGTATATTTGAGCCCAAAAAGTAAAACAAAAATCTACAGGCCAGTCGCGATGCATCGATTCGCTGCTCAAGATCGATCGTTATGCTCACGGTATCTACTTGTTCTACTTGATTACCCGGAATAGCCAGACTGAGTCTGAAAAATCTAGAGACTCCACTGGGATATTTGACCAATTCCATTGAAATAATGTTTGTGTTTAAGCCTATGAGACGAAACTAGGGGTACCTGGAGAAAACTCACCAGGCGTATCAGGAGAGTGCACTTGAAAGGCAAGCACAGATGGGTTCATGAAGCCACTTGCTGTTCTGCGATCGATTCGCTACCTTGCACCTCAGTGTATTTGTGAATTCCCCTAATCCGTGGGATCCATCAAGCCCATGCCTATAAAGCGCTAGATCACAGACGTGTGGCACAGCGCGCCGTTTCAACAATAATACTTTAATTAATAAAATAAACAAAAGCAATGAATAAAACACGCCGTGCACATCTGCCAACTGCGCCAGGCTGGGACGGGCAGCCGATAAACAGTGGGGCACGCGGAGTGGCCTCAGGGGCCGGTGTGAGCTGTGTCATGGTCAGGCAGTTCCCTATCGCAACCAATCTGACCCCCAACTACTCTGACCCCCAACCACCGACCCCCCTCCCACCCACCGAGGCCCCACCCCCCTCAACCGATGCCACAACTGAACCTCGAAAGAGGTCGTTGGGGCCTCTGCAGGGTGGTGGAATTCGACGGGAGAAACTGATGCACCAAACAGCTACCCAGCCGAGCTGAGGGAACCTGACCTGAACCCAAATGTGACTTGGTCTGATCTGTCACCGGATGGCCACGTCTGCTGCCAACAGATATACAGTACTCGAGTGAAAATAAAGGTTTTTTATATTGGGCCTTTCATTGAAATGTCACAACGCGATGTACGCGTGAAACATTTTCCACACACCATACATAAATATACAATTATGGTGATATTTTTTTAAAAGAAAATCATTGGCTGTGTCTCCAATGCAAACCCAGATAAGTTACTCGAGGAAGAATCTGGCACAACGAGAAGCCAACGCGAGTATCTTAAACCCCAAAGAGTGATTGGGTGCCAAGTGGCCCCAGGTTCTGGGTGAGAGATAAGGCACGGCGCTGAACAGCTCTGATGAGACGAAATCTGACAACACGACGATGTCACACAGCCAAAGATGCCCCGGGTATACCCCGTAACACTCGCTCACACACCTGGTTGGTGTCTGACCATAGCGAGGTGCACTTGGCCTGTCACTTCAGTGGCAATTGGCAGGTATTGGTACAGCAATAACACCTGTGTGTCCACCATGAGAACCCAAAGCAATCCCACTATGACAATCATCATGGCCAACCAGGCCATGCCCTTACAAAAAAAGACCATGCCCCTCATGGGCAAACGATGCCGATTATATCAGAGTCATGCCCATACAGCGAGACCGTGCACAACTATTAGCAGACCACATCATGCCCCCTTCTTACCAAGCCATACCCCTAAAAGACAAAAATCATGACACTCACGCAGATCCTGTCCTTAAAATAAGACCATGCCCTTGATATACAGTAGTGTAATTCAGTGTCCTTCATACCAAATCACATCGTGCTCCTTACACCGGTCCATGCCACTCACACCCAAGACCATGGCGATGGAAGCAGGTGAAATTGATCATGATGAACGATAATAAAAATAACCCACGCATCATACACAAACACGCCGACAACAGACGCACATTGGGCGACTAAGTGCCGGCGACGTACCCTCGTGCCAGGCTAGGTGCACTGTGTGCCACGTGAAAGTGTGAGAGGCTCGGAACAGACCCAGGTGTTTATGGGTTCACCGACTGCCATATACCAACTTTGTCGTGTTTTAACCGCCCGGGCGCTCTCTGCTCGTTGTAGTGAGCGTCGCTCCTTCAATTGCACACACCACCACCACCAGCAATAACAATCACAGTTCGCCACTAAGGGGCCATGGTGTCATCACAGCGCTTGTACCAGGCTAGGTACACCACGAGGCCACATGACGTATCGAAGGTTCGCCGGCAGGAGATCACGGGTCAGACCCAGGTGCCATGGGTTGACCTGACCGAGACGAACGGCAGATGCACACCAAAGAGACAAATATCCCAGCCCCCGAGAGCCTGAACAGGCTGTTGGGGCAAGCGCTGTTGGCGAATACCGATGAAGGCCGGCACGGCATCACCAAAACCAGCACCGCACATCAAACACACCAGAACCCTCATCATTGTCCTCTGGACATGGTGTGCACTTTCAACAACAACCACCACCACCAACCACCCAGCAAAGGGCCGGGACAGGTCAAGGCGGCTTAATTAACAGGGGGGGACAAGGTGCGGGAGGGGGTCAGGGAGGGGTCAGGGTGGTGGGGGGGGTGTCAGGAAGGGGTCAGGGAAGGGGGTCAAGGAGGGATCAGGGAGGGGGTCAGGGAAAGGGTCAAGGTGGACCGGGCAAGCGAGACGGGGGCGGGGTCGGTCACTCACGAAGCGGGCAGCTGCAGGGGCGCCGCTCCACGCCGCTGGAAGACGCCGTCGACGAAGACGCCGTTCTTGCCCAGGCAGCGCAGGAAGAAGTGCGGATGCACGAAGGCCATCTCGAGGTGCCTGCGCGACACGAAGCTGGAGCGACCCACCGTGACGTGGGCACCCCCCTCGTCGCCGCTGCTCGAGGTCCTCCCCACCCACAGCCGCTTTTGTCTCACTTCGTACTCCACGTCTTTGCCCTCGATGGTGGCCAGCAAAGGTCCCGTCTCGTCGCCGGAGCCGACCCGCATCCTGATCCTCCTTCCGCTGCTGCTGCTCGTGGTGGTGGTGGTGGTTGCGGTGGTGGCCACGGTGGTGGCCATATCAACCTCCTTGTCTTCGTCGTCCTCCTCGTCGTCCTCCTCCTCCTCTTCCACGTTGCTGTTGCTCTTGTTGTTGTGGTGGTGGTGGTCGTCCGTGCTGCTGCTGTTGTTGTCGCCGCCGCAGTTGTTGTTGTTGTCGTTCTCCTCGTGGTTGTTGTCGGCGGGGCCGCGGGGACCCCCGGGCCGCGCGTCCCCCACGGCCCAGGAGAGGCCCCGGGCCGGGCTGAGCGGAGACGTCTTGAGGCCCAGCAGGAGTCGTGCGGGACCTTGGTCTGACATGGCCACGCCCGGGTCAGACACGGCCATCGACGAGGCGCGGCCACGAGGTTGGAGATGGTGGGAGATGGTGGAGGTTGATGATGCCGGAGGTGGAGGAAGGAAGCACCTAGGTGGTTGGTGGTGGTGGTGGTTGCAGGTGATGATGATGATGGAAGGTTGTGGGTGTTTTGGTTGCAGGTGGTGATGATGATGATGATGGAGGAAGGTGATGGGTGGTGGTTGCAGGTAATGATGATGGAAGGTTGTGGGTGGTGGTTGCAGGTGGTGATGATGATGATGGAGGAAGGTGATGGGTGCAGGTGATGATGATGATGGGAGCAAGCAAGAGGAGGTTGGTGATGGTGTTGATGTGGTTGGAGACTATTTACAAAGTCGAGGAAGATGCGGGGGGTGTTGGAAAAGGTTGACCAGAAGCGGAGAGGAGAGCGGCGGGATGGATAACGACGTTGGGCGGTTTCGTTGGGAGGTGAAACGTGGTTAGAGGTGGAGGATGGAGACCACGGATGAGGTGGACGAGATTGTTGATATTGAGGTGGTGAAAATGGAAGTTGTTGTTGTTGTTGGTGGGAGGTTAGACGAGGAGACGGCGAAGCCGATAAACTGAAGGCGGTGACGTTGGGAGGACAAGATGGGCGAGAAGGGCGCGGCGAAGGAGGTGGAAGTTGGCGGATCGACGAAGTGAACGAGGCGAAGAGAACGAGGCGAAGGGACGAGGCGAAGTGAACGAGGCGTTGAGTTCCCTGCTGGTCGGAGGCGGCCCCGGCAGACAGCGGCGAGAGCGGCCCAAGTCCGTTCCAAGTCTGCCGCCTCTCCCTCGCTTACCGCTTCTGTCAAGGGCGCTGTCGCTGCTGCTGGAGGAGCCCGTCAGCTTGGGTCTCGACTCAGTTCTCCTCCTCCTTCTTCCCTCCTCGTTCTTGCCGCTGCTACTGCTGATGCAGAAGCGATGACTTCGCTGTCTGGAGAGGAGCTGATGCGGTGCTGCGGGGTGGGGGGAAAGAAACCCCGCAGCGGAGTCTCGAAAGCCGAATGCGCTGGATGCCGGAGCGGAGTTAAACTTTTTTTTTAATGCGTCGTTGCTGTATCGTTCGAACCGGCCGACAACTCGTTTCGAGCGACGTTCGTCGAGTTCAGCGACAGTTCGCGGAGTCCGGCGAGCGCCTCCAGGTCTTCTCGTCGCCTGCGAGTTACGCGAAATCCGGATCCGAAATCGAGAGTTGTGGAGGGGGGGGGGATAGATCCACTCCGGGTTGCGCGGCGCAGCGTGACGCGCGGGCGGGGTGACGTCATGGTGCCGGCGAAACGAATCTGGATCGAGGCGCCGTGCCATTCAATCTCTTCCTGACTTCATCAACATCATCATCGTTAAAAGGGTCCCATAGGCAACATCATCGTTACCACCAACATCAGCATCATCATGTGTGTATATAATCATCATCATTATTAAAGGGTCCCATAGACATTATGGCTCTAGATTTTGGTGTTATTGTTAAAAATTCGGTCACAGTCCCTGTGATCACTGTTACATTGGATTTATGGCTTTTATTTTGGTGATTTCGAAAAGTTGTTTTTGTTTTGGCCATGTTTTTGTTTATTGTAGTACGGAGTTAGACTGATGGCTTTAATCTTAGTTGTCTTGTGGTTGTTGTTGTTGTTATTTGACTTGCATCCCACTGGGATTTTTGCACACAGCGTTGGTGTACGGTGCTATTTCAGGAATATTTTTACGTTTTTTTCCTGGATTTTCTGTTTTGCACAGTCACATGATCACTTTAAGATGTTTTCTTGTTCATGTTTTTTGTTTGTTGCGGTTGCACCCGATTCAAGAGCCGAATGGCTCACAGGGCTATACCAAATAAATGAAACTATGAACTATTACCATCAACATCATCATGTGTGTATATCATCATCATCATTAAAGGGTCCCAAAGATAAAAGAATGTGTTCACATAATCATCACCAACATCATGAAAGTGTCCCATAGATATCATCATGTGTGTTCACATCATCGTCATCATGTATGTATTTCATCATAAAAGGGTCCCATACAGTGAGGGAAAACAGTATTTGATCCCCTGCTGATTTTGTACGTTTGCCCACTGACAAAGAAATGATCAGTCTATAATTTTAATGGTAGGTTTATTTGAACATTGAGAGACAGAATAACAACAAGAAAATCCAGAAAAACGCATGTCAAAAATGTTATAAATTGATTTGCATTTTAATGAGGGAAATAAGTATTTGACCCCCTCTCAATCAAAGATTTCTGGCTCCCAGGTGTCTTTTATACAGGTAACGAGCTGAGATTAGGAGCACACTCTTAAAGGGAGTGCTCCTAATCTCAGCTTGTTATCTGTATAAAATACACCTGTCCACAGAAGCAATCAATCAATCAGATTCCAAACTCTCCACCATGGCCAAGACCAAAGAGCTCTCCAAGGATGTCAGGGACAAGATTGTAGACCTACACAAGGCTGGAATGGGCTACAAGACCATTGCCAAGCAGCTTGGTGAGAAGGTGACAACAGTTGGTGCGATTATTCGCAAATGGAAGAAACACAAAAGATCTGTCAATCTCCCTCGGCCTGGGGCTCCATGCAAGATCGCACCTCGTGGAGTTGCAATGATCATGAGAACGGTGAGGAATCAGCCCATAACTACACGGGAGGATCTTGTCAATGATCTCAAGGCAGCTGGGACCATAGTCACCAAGAAAACAATTGGTAACACACTACGCCGTGAAGGACTGAAATTCTGCAGCACCCGCAAGATCCCCCTGCTCAAGAAAGCACATATACATGCCCGTCTGAAGTTTGCCAATGAACATCTAAATGATTCAGAGGACAACTGGGTGAAAGTGTTGTGGTCAGATGAGACCAAAATGGAGCTCTTTGGCATGTTTGGAGGAGGAGGAATGCTGCCTATGACCCCAAGAACACCATCCCCACCGTCAAACATGGAGGTGGAAACATTATGCTTTGGGGGTGTTTTCTGCTAAGGGGACAGGACAACTTCACCGCATCAAAGGGACGATGGACGGGGCCATGTACCGTCAAATCTTGGGTGAGAACCTCCTTCCCTCAGCCAGGGCATTTAAAATGGGTCGTGGATGGGTATTCCAGCATGACAATGACCCAAAACACACGGCCAAGGCAACAAAGGAGTGGCTCAAGAAGAAGCACATTAAGGTCCTGGAGTGGCCTAGCCAGTCTCCAGACCTTAATCTCAGAAAATCTGTGGAGGGAGCTGAAGGTTCGAGTTGCCAAACGTCAGCCTCGAAACATTAATGACTTGGAGAAGATCTGCAAAGAGGAGTGGGACAAAATCCCTCCTGAGATGTGTGCAAACCTGGTGGCCAACTACAAGAAACGTCTGACCTCTGTGATTGCCAACAAGGGTTTTGCCACCAAGTACTAAGTTATTGTTTTGCAGAGGGGTCAAATACTTATTTCCCTCATTAAAATGCAAATCAATTTGTAACATTTTTGACATGCGTTTTTCTGGATTTTTTTGTTATTCTGTCTCTCACTGTTCAAATCAACCTACCATTATAATTATAGACTGATAATTTCTTTGTCAGTGGGCAAGTGCACAAAATCAGCAGGGGATCAAATACTTTTTTCCCTCACTGTAGATATTATCATGTGTTCACATCATCACCAACGTCATCATGTGTGTACATGATCATGATAAAAGGGTCCCATAGATATCATGTGTGTTCACATCATCATCACCAACATCACCATCATCACCATCATGTGTGTATATCATCATCAAAGGGTCTCAGATATTATCATGTGTTCACATCAATACCACCACCACCACCATCATCATCACCAACATCATCACGTGTATATTATCACGTGTGATATCATCATCATCATCATCAACCGGTCCCATAGATCGCATCATATGTTCACATCATCATGTGCCGACATCTTCATCACACGTGTGTACATTAAATGACAATTTGCCATATCCAGTGTACTGTGTACTGTATGTGACTTGTTTATGATATTAGGATTAACAGTTTATTTTATTTGTGAATCATCACCAATATCCGTCTGAAAATGAACATCGACATCAGAGATTAGGAATATCGCTTGTTGCTATATTTTATGTTGAAGTTATTTCACACCACCGTACGTAGCCAACCGTGCTAATGTGAGTGCGTGGGGGAAGGACAACAAACTAAACACAACAACAACGAGCAACAGTTCTAAAGAAAATTGTCACCACCATCACCGCGCGTGTACATCGCACTTGACCAGGCGCGGTGGACATGGCGTTTGGGGGGGGTCGGGCCGGGCCCTGGTTAAAACCCCACGAAACGTTTAAAGATTCCCACGTGCATTGTTACTCTACAATATGCGCAACGTGGAGCGGTGGCGCAGTGGTTAGCGCCCTGCTACTGCGAGTCCAACCACCCGATAGTGACGATGCCTTTGACTGATGAATGGCAATGCTACTCGATGAAGCTGCTGCTGATTACGATGGTGCTGATGATGATGATGGTGCTGCTGATGATGATTGATGGACATGGAGCGCCGCCACGTGGCCTCGTTGCACCGCCGCAGTCCCGGAGCCGGATCTCAAACACTCTGGGAATCAATTCCACGGCTGCAGTGGAGTTAACTAGTGGAGTGGCTTGTAGCGACTTTGCGCTTTTGTCGCCGAATTTGAGCGACTCTGCGGGTTTTTCATTGCGACGATTTCGTTGTCGAAGCGTCATCGCCGTCGTTGGCAGCGACAACAGCCGTGTTCGATCCACTGCTGGATGGATGAAAGCTTGCCCCCCCCCCCCCAGGGCGGGCACCACCGCTCTCCCGCGATGTAACGAACAATCGCGAGAGCAGTCTGCGCACTTCCGAGCTTATTCCATCGCTCCATCTCCTCCTCGGTGGTGAAAACAGAAGACAACAACATCCTTCGCGGGACAGGTCCCGCGGTGAATGTTCAAACGCTGTAACGACAGTGGACAATTAATTCCCTGCACCGGTTCTGACTGCTTAGGATCTTGCGTCGGTTTTGTTGTTGTTGTTGTGTGTAAACATCAAGTTAAAAAAAATGTTCGGCAACTACTCAAGGATGTCGAAGTCAAGCGAGACGCCGTGAACGTTGCGATGTGACGTTTGGCGGTGACTTTCGAGGCCGGTGGCAATGCGTAAAAGTCACGACGATGCAACAGATGTCCACTTGGGTGCACGCGGTGCCAAGAGGCGGGCTTGCGGGGACTTTGGTCAAGCGGCGCGCCGCCACACGTGACGCGGCAGGAAGAGCAACTCGGCAGGTAGCAGCGGCGTCGGCGTCATCAGCAGCAGCAGTGGCATCATCATCGGCAACAGTGGATACATCAGCAGCAGCAGTGGCATCATCATCGGCAACAGTGGATACATCAGCAGCAGCGGACACATCACCAGCAGCAGCGGCAGTGGCATCATCGTCATAATCATCATCGGCAACAGTGGATACATCAGCAGCAGCAGCGGACGCATCAGCAGCAGCAGCGGACACATCACCAGCAGCAGCTGCTGATGAGCAGCAGACATCATCAGCAGCAGCAGCCACCACAGCAGCAGATACACCAGTAGCAGCCGCCACCACCACAGTAACAGAGACACCAGTAGCAGAAATAGCCGCAGTTGATACGACAGAAGCAGCAGAAACAGCCTCAGCAGCAGAATCAACAGCAGCAGCAGCGGCAGAATCAACAGCACCGGCGGAAAACAACAGCAGCGGCGAAAATATACAGCAACAGGAACAGTCGAGGGTAAGAAACAGGAAGAACATCAGCTATAATTGCCGCAATAAAAAAAACACTCCCGACACGAAAACATCAAAAAACCACAACTTCAGCAAACACAGGCCGCAATAAATACCAGCGGCGACAACAGAAGCAGCAACAAGACCAGCAAGGCGAAGAACAGGGGGGCAATAGCAGCAGCAGTAGTAGCAGCAAGACCAAGCAGCATCAGGTGACTTCCAGGTCTCACTAACTGGGGGGTGCCCCAGGTCTCGTGTTGTCCCAGTTGCCGCTTCCCGACTTCCCAGCTCTGCCGGGGACCCCCCCCCCCACCCTCTCCTAGTGCCCCTAGAGACTCCCAGCTCTGCCGGGGACCCCCCCCCCCCCTCTCCTAGTGCCCCTAGAGACTCCCAGCTCTGCCGGGACCCCCCCCCCCCTCTCCTAGTGCCCCTAGAGACTCCCAGCTCTGCCGGGACCCCCCCCCCTCTCCTAGTGCCCCTAGAGGCTCTCAGCTCTGCCGGGACCCCCCCCCCCCTCTCCTAGTGCCCCTAGAGGCTCTCAGCTCTGCCGGGACCCCCCCCCCCCCTCTCCTAGTGCCCCTAGAGACTCCCAGCTCTGCTGGGGACCCCCCACCGTAGTACCCCCCCCCCCCCACCGTAGTACCCCATGGCCACGTCGCAGCCGGCAGCCGGAGACCTCCGACCTCGCGGTGTCGGCTCGAGCTGGGGTCTCGCCGACGGCTGGAAGCAGAGCGTGTGGCGAGGCTGCTGCTTGTGCATGGCGGGGTTCTTTGGGCTCGCGGCGTACGTGCAGGTGAGTTGGGGGGTGTTTGTGCAAAGCAAGGCCGTAATTACAATATATATTGGGTAGGACATATCCCCCCAAATATTCAAATATGCTCAAAATATCCCGCCCCCCCCCCATATATTGCTATAAAATATATTTCTGTTCATATGATTGTGTTTATGGTTGTACTTTATTAATCCCTAATCTCTGCCATTACATACAATGAAACAAGAAAAGGTAAAAAAAGAAAAAAACAGAGCAATGTAATACAATACACTATTAGACATTATTGTAAAAAATAAAATAAAGTCCATCCCGTGTGTTAGTGCATTTTTTTTATATTTTAGGCATAAAATTCGTTTTCAAATTTAGATTTTTTTTTCTGGGTATGGGACCCCCAGACCCCCTGGTCAAAGCAGAGGGCCAAGGAGCAGTAGAAATTCGCCGTGATCGGGAGTCGAACTCGTTGTCTCACACGCGCTCTTGTTTCCCCCCTGGTGCTGCGTGTGTGTGTGTGGCTTGCAAGAAAAACGACCCAGATGCGAGCCTGTGGACGGTAACGTACAATTAAACACACCTTCTAGTCAATTAACATATTCAGTGTACTGTCATGCTGCGCGTGTGACTGATATCAAATTTCGATTTAAAGCTTTCGTGACTGCAGGGATTCATATTCTTGGTTCTTTCGGTAAAGTCACGTAGAAGGGAAATAATAAAATAACCAAGAATATGATATCAAATCAAGGTATGATGTTAGAATTACGTTTTTTTCTTCTCCTATAAACGGATTAAAAGAAAAAAGTATCCGGATCAAGAAATTAGGAATGCCGCTTGTAATGTTACTGCATGTAGGGGTGAACTTCTTTCGCACCGTACGTAGCCAACCGTGCTAATCGATTGTGCGGAATAACCACTGGGTTCCAATGAAGAGGAGAGCAAAACTAAACAAAGTTAACTTACATTTTGATTTAAAGCTTTCGTGACTGCAGGGATTCATATTCTTGGTTCTTTCGGTAAAGTCACGTAGAAGGGACACAATAAAATAATAAAAATATAAAACAATAAAATTCTCACGACGTTTCGACTGCAACACAAGCAATCATCATCATCAGGTGTGATGAACCAAGAATATAAAAGTTAACCTATTTAAATTAAACCCGTTCCCAAAACTTAAACCCCAGAGTAACTTTCAGCCTGGGTTTCTCCATCGCGGGACTCCTGTTGCTGTACGATTCGATTTCATTTGCTATACAGCCAGATAACACGACGAATCGCTAACCTTAAACACCCAGTCGTTCATAAAAGTTGAAGGCGGTATAGTACTATAGTAATAGATCAAGTGCAGAATCATTGAACCAGAATTGACAGCTTGAAAGCATTTAGCGCGGGGCCCTTGAAAGTGCGGAGCCCGTAGCTACTACATATGTAGCTACTTTTGCGACGAGGATAATTAATCCGGCACTGGCTACATGGTGGTGCCTATCGCCGGACCGGTCACAGCCTTTGGAGCGGTTCGTCGGATCGACCCGGGACCGCCGGATAATGTTGGAAGCAGCCGGATAATTGTGCGGTGCCCGATAATAATCGATATATAATCAATTGTACTTGTATTCCTAATCATAACCGCCCGGTGATTGTAATGGGATCCATCACGTGTCGCTTATTCCCCTAAATGCATTCCACAAAACTATAAAGGCCATAATGTTTGTCCTGTTAGCAAGCAAGTTTCAATATATTGCTGTTTAACCAAGCGATAACTCAAAAGGAAATCAGCATGGGTCTCATTTGTGAATGGCATCGGTCACAAAAAATTAAAAGAAACAAATACAATTAAGCACTGCAATAAAGTAATCGAATAATTGATTACTTTATTGCGCGTTATCAACGTTAAATATCCAATTCCCTGCAGCGCAAATCGGCTCGGGCAGATTTGCCTCCAGACTTAGCATGGCATACATGACAAATAGTGAGCTACAGAGACGTTAAACACACAGACAGGGTGACTACAGTCCAAATACGGACATATGTCAAAATGCAATTGCAAGCGAAGTTATCAAGCAACAGGATTTGCATTTTTAAACGACATAATAGTTTGTGGGAGATCTGCCAAGTGACTCTGTATGCGTGGATGTCTTTGCAGGTAGCGTATCTATTCCCAGCTGCCCTTAGCCTTGTGGTGGCGGTGTCGCCTTCAGCTGCAGGTAATTTCGGTGGATCAGTGCAATTTAAAACAAGAGGAACGCCTTCGCAATTAAGCCCCCCCCCCCCCCCCAGCGATCGCTTCCCTTAATCTGCCTTAAAATACTTTTCTTTTTAGTTCTTTCGGTAAAGTCACGTAGAAAGAAAATACATTAAATAATACGTTTCGATCGCAACACAAGCAATCATCATCAGGTACGAATGGATAAGAAAAAAACCAAAACAAAAACCTAGTAAACTTAAAATGACAACTCCAAATATACAGCAGGCGTCAGGGTCGGGATTGAACCCACGAACCTCCTTTCCCGTAAACACAATGCGAGGCGGTCAACGTCTCGCCACTGTGGCAACTCTAAAAGCACGTGGCCCTCTCCCTCCACGCCACCTCTCGCCCAAGGCAACCACGCGTGGAAGAGCGTCGTGCACATGCACGTGGCCGCGTGCCTCTTCGGAGCGTGCCTCCTCGCCGCCGTGGCGCACAGATCTGGCAAGCGCATGCACGTGCTGGAGGCGGAGGAGGGCAGGTAGGTCCCGGCCCGAATCCTCGGATCGTTCAAATGGAATCGTTTGCTCGCAAATTATCGCTCGCCAATTCCCTGTCCCATTAACCCCCCCCCCCCCCCCCCCCCCCCCGATTCCTCACGATCCCTTGCCGTCGTCCATCAACATGATTCCAGGTTATTATGCATTGCTATGATCCCCGTATCTCACACTACAATCCACTGCCATCATCCTTACACTCTCGTTACGTTTCCAATGAGTCATCAATCCCTTGACACGATCTAACACCACAATCCCCGTCATCCCTTACAATCCCTCGCTGTTTTATCGCTACGATCCCTACAGTCCTGGACTAGAATTGTCGATCCCTCAATACTACAGTATAACTATGAATTCTTACTATTCCTGCCATGCACTACTATGCTGCCTCGCAATGACCCCTACAATTTCTCATGATCCGTCACCACGATCTCTGATCCTTCGTGGTTTTGTCGTCCTAGGGAGATCGGAGGGCTCCTCCTCGTCGTCTTTTGGATGATTCTCTGCCGCAACTCCCACGAGTAAGGATCACATAGCATGAGCGTAGGAGGGGTGGGGGGGGGTGTTACAGCCGAGGCACCGCTCCGCATGTCCACCGTGACCGTCGCTCGTTAAAACACGCCTATCGCAAGGGTTCATCGGCTCCTGATGTTTGGATGGAAAAACAAACATGGCGTGGGCGACCTCCACTGACCCCTTGACCTTGCAGGAACTTATGCAGGGTCACAGGAAAAGGGGGCCTCGGTTGAGAAGTGAGCGACGCCATGCCGAGCCACGTACACTTTGACGGAATCTTTGCGGAGCCTCGCAACTCACTTTGGGGGTTCCTGCTGCTTTGGTCATTTGGCCAAGTGCCCTTTTTGAGTGACGGAGGAGGTACAAGAGCCAGAGTAGCCAGAAAAAGGGACAGAGCAACTCCTCGCAGATAGGTCGGCATCCGACTTGATGTTGCTGCCTCCTGCAGCCAATGTGTGGGACAGTCTGCACTGTTTAAAACAAGATTGCGGTGGTCGGGAACAATGGCACGCGTCTTGACAGCCCGTGGCGGTGACCGCGTGAGCGTGCAGGCCACACGGAGCGACGCTGCGGGCTGGCCTCGGCCTGGTGTTCGTGGCCATACCCTCCCTCGCCTGGATCTACACGTCCTTCAACGCCAGAATCATGGCCGCCAATCCCGAGCACTGCAAGAACTCGCTGTGACGCAGTCGCCACAGCGATAGCACCCACTTCGGAGTGCGAATTTCGGACTGGGTTGACCCGACAGCAAAGAGACGCATACTCCAGCTCGCGTGGACCAATCGCGATTAAGCGAGCGCGGGTGAGGTGACCGAGCAGGAAAATTAGGCCGTGGCAAGTGCAGCCTGGTAGGCCATTCAGCCATCTCCAAAGCACGGTTTCTGCAGTGGAAAAAGCGGGGGGTTATCGTAATGAACGTTAAAAAACATTAATCGATCAGCCACACGACCGTGCACCATTTCAGCAGTGGAATTTAATTTGGAATTCAAAAGGCAATTTACAGATTTTGAGAAAATAAGAGAGATATACATTGTGTAAGAAAGATCCCGTGCGCGATTCCATCGGGAGGCCTCAAAGAACCGTGGTCTAATAAAACCCACTCTGCACCCTCCCGGCATCCCCAGTGCGTGCGCGCGTGTATATACATTGCCATGTGTGCGCATCTGTGCATGCACAAAGGGCCAAAGGTAACAACGGTACATTTACAAGCCAACGGTCCGCAGAAAGTTTCCTCTTGTTTATTACAGAAAAGGAGGGACACATTTGAGCGATCGTGTGCAGCGCATGGTTATCCTCGAGCCTGCAGGTGTCCGCTGCTGTCTCCTGGTGGACACTCGAGACAGTCAGCCCAACGGTAGTGCAGCCAACGGCGTGCAGGTTACCTCAGCCGTCTGACGTAATCGCTACGACACCCCCCCCCACCACCCACCAACACCCCCCCCCCCCGCACAAACTCTCAGGAGGCTGCACGAGTGGAAGCGATTCTGTACAAACAGCCATCACCCTCCACCAGCCCCGAACCCACGCTCCCCATCTCCCCTCCTCACAACAGCAATTGCCTTCTCCACCTCTTCATGTGCAATAGGGGCAGAGGTGCGAGGCGTGCAGCCGGGTGGGGAAAAGGGAATGAAGGCAGGGTCACGATCCATCATGGCCAATGGTGCCCATTGGGCGAGCGACTTGTAAAGAGATGGCGAGTCTTGTGTAAAGAATCCTGTGGTTTCTACGTGTTCAGAGTTTTGGGAGAGTCCCAGTTTCATCCCCCTGGTGCCTCTGAACCCCGGCGTGTCGCCAACATCCTCGCAGCCCGGCCAGAGGGGCCCCATCGAAAGGAACGAGGCTGGCTGCCTCACTCCTTACATATTGCCGTTTACGAAGAAACCAAAAAAAAAAACCTCGCGTTATTTGCCGCGTTTCGCCGACGCGTGTGGCAGCCAATGCCACGAACAGCAGCAGCTTCCGCTGCAGAGAAGGAACGCTAACACTCACTGCAAAGCACGCACACACAGGGAACAGCACGGCAAGCACTGAGGCTTGCGCCGTTCGGCGAAATTGCTGCCGAGCGGCAGGCGTGAACTACCGGTGTGAACTACCTCCCCCACTACCCCGTGCAGTGAGGCTACAAGAGACTGGCGTCTCCCAGGCAGGAAACGGCGATGCCCCATTGTTGTTTAAAGTCGTTTGGTGGATGCTGCACGGCCCTCTCGAGCTTGACAAGGGGCGCGCTGTGACGCCTCTGGGTGGACGGGTTGAACCACCGCCGCCGCCGCCACGCATGGCGTGGTGGAACACGACGAGTCGGGGAGGGGGGGACCTACAGGCTGCTCCAGCTCTCCGCCGGCGGGAAGTCCACCACCTCTCCGACCTCGCTGAACACCTCCTCGCCGAGCGTGAACGCCAACCGGAAGCGCAGGCGCACCTTCTCCTGGGATGCGGGATCAAAGCGGAGGCACCGGTGTTAGAGGTGCAAGGGCCAGAGAGGAGCTATGAGGGTGAGGGGAGGGTGAAGGGTGTCCGCGGGCTGTGGCAGGGCGGCTACTACCTTGTTGGGGTTTGCGAGCAGCATGACCTGGGTAACGGCCGCCGGTGGCTGCAGGGGGTTGAACCCTGGGAGCTCCGTGCCGGATGCTGGCTGCAGCTTCACGCGCATATTCTGCACGCACATGCACACACGCACATGTTTCAGCAGCTCTGCTCAGGGAAGCGAATGAAGCTGAACTGAACTGATTTTTTTTTTATTTTACCAGCTAAGGCCCACTGAGCTACATCTCTTTTTTCAGAAGCAACCGTGCCACAAATGATAGTTCATCAAAGTGGCTAATGTGGAAATGTATAGCAGCCAAATGTTCTAAATGCATGTTTCTAAATGAGAAAAATCCACGCGACCACAGAGAGGACATGCAAACTACAAATATACAGGCGTTAGTGTCGGAATCTAACCCACAGGCGAGGTAGTTAACATCTTGCCACGGTGGTGCCCTCAGAATCAGATGAGTTAATTCATCGAGAGCTCCAGCAGAGCAAAATGAGCGGTATTGAGGTCTCAAAAATAAAAAAAAACCGCTTCGTTCTGTGCACAGCCTGGGAACAATTGCTGAGAAGAATAATCCATCACTGCGACATAATAATGTCCGTTAATTGAGGAAAGCTTAACCGAGTCACTCGACTTATTTTTAAAGACGGTCAAGCATTGGGACGTTTGGCTAATTAATGATTGTTTAAGGAAACCACAGTACCTGGAGAAAACCCACCACACGGGGGTGGTCATTATCAAGCCTATTCACAGATAGGCTGTGTAATTCACTACTCTACTGCCATCTAGTCCACCTCACATGTAGTTAACACCTGATATTCCCAGGCTGTCTTTCGTCCTGGCACTAACCAAGGCTGAACTCCACTTTGCCCTCCAAGATCTCATGAGATCGGGGGAGCATATTCAGGGCGATTTGGCTGAAAGAAAACACAAATCGAGACGCTGCCGTGGAGTGTCTGGCGCTGCGCGGGGGTGAAGGGGGCCCAAAGCGGAGTACCGACGTGGGCGCACCTTGGGGACGGCCGCCTGGAACAGCAGGCCCGAGATGGGCTGGGGCGCTGTGCTGATCACGGACAGTACCACGACCAGCACGTCTGGCCGGCCAGGGGGGCAGCCCCGCGAGAAATGCAGCAGCACGCGCAGGCCGTGGCGGTCGTACGCGGTGATGGGGGCGGCGTTGCCTGCGCACAGGGACGCGCAAAGGGACGTGAACGGGCACAATTGGATGGGCACACAAAACACGCGCAGCCACTTGCACAAGCCACCGCTTTGGGGCCCGTGTCATATGCCAGGAGCAGAGCGAGGACAATGAGTCGATCAAGTTGATTTAAGTCAACGATGACGATGATGACGATGATGACTACCCACCAAAGACCGAAGCATGAACGTATCACAAATACGAAACCAACAAATCTGAATGAGGAAGTAGATTATAATTGAGTGTCGTTATAAGAGGCAGCAGTGTGCTGACGACGAGGAAGACATGGTAATGAACTACAAATGTAATGTTAAAAGACAGAGTTCACCGATTGGTTGGCCTCATTCATCCTGGAGAGTAAAAATTAGGCTAAACCGAACATCGAACATTTAAAAACCAAGAGTGTACGAGTTTTTGATTTGATTTGGAGCTTTCGTGACTGCAGGAATTACTCTTTGGTTCTTTCGGTCAAGTCTAATTTATTTTCTTTTTACGTGACTTTACCGAAAGAACCAACGAGTGTTTTTGATTGTTTTAGTTAGCTAAACTGAATGAAATCCACAGACGAGGACTTGACTAACATTCCACTGGTTGACGTAGACCAAAACTTCGACAAGAACTGGTGGCTAAACTTGAGGAGTGACAGCCGGCACCACCACTGCCACCACCACCACTCACTGGGCTTGATGGAGTCGAGCGGCACGAACACATTGGTCAGGGAGATGTCGGCCTGTCCGACCGGGCCGCCGGGCCTCGCCGGGCTGGACGCCGTGTGAGAGGCGAGCGAGGTGGGCAGCGTGGCGACCGCGGGGGTGAGGAGCGAGGCGGAGACGGGGACGGACGATGACGGGACGGCAGCAAAGGAGGATCTCGGGGACGCCGCTGGGGGGAGACCCCCACCAAGCAAGCCGGCGGCGGGAGTCGGGACGGGCGACGACCCCACGGGGGTCACAGGTGCCGCCCCTTTAGGCGCCGTCTCCATTTTGCTCTGCTGGAGCTCTCGTAGCGTCTGCTTAGGGGCCGTGGATGCCCTGCAGCGGAGGCGAGGGAAAGGGGAGAAGAAAACATAAGCTGCAGAGCTGCAACGTGATTGGTCGATCTATTGACAAAACAAAGTGTCATCGACTGCTTTTTTTAAGTCGATAACTAACGGTCTCCTTTTCAAATGGCAGCAGCCCCGACATTTTGCCTCTCGAAGGCCACAGCCAGCGTGACGTGACTGTAATGTTGGTGGCGTCACCATGCCCAACCCGTCAACTCCTCTCCAGTGGCATACGTGTGAACATGTGACTTTTTGTTCCCCTAACTATTTTTGTGTAATCCCGATTCAGAAATCGAACTCGTAATCGGTAATCAATTATTTAACTCATTGCATAGCCCAGCTCCAATAAATATTTGTACTATTTCACACACGAGTGTGCGTGTTGCGCATAGTGTAGAGAGCGGTAGTGTAACAGCGCGCTGCGCTACAAACCCAACAACCCAAGTTCGATTCCTGCTCACGGCCAACAACGGTAACTATCTGAACTGGTCCTGGGCCTTCCCTAGGTCGATTCAGCCTCTAATGAGTACCTGGTGCGATGTGTACATGTCACTACTAGGGAGACATAACGCGCCCGGGTATGGTGCTGGCCACCCACCCCCTCGTGTGCCGTTCCAGCCTTCATAGGTGCTACTCGCTAACAGCACTTGCCCCAACAGTCTGTAAAGGCTATACGGGGGAAATTTGTCTTTGGTGCGCATAGTTGGGGCATTACCACTTGACCTGCTGCGTGCCGGGAGGCAACGCCTGCTGCAGCAGGGACTTGCCGATCTGCTCCAGCTCCTGCAGGCCGCCCACAGGGGCTGGCGCCGCCGGCGCTGCCTCCGCCGGCGTCCCCACCGTGACCGAGAGGGTGGCGCCGTCCATCAACGCCGAGCCCAACTGTGAGACACCGGGGGTGAAGAGGTCGGCGACTGGAGAATCGCTCGCGCGCGACACCCACCGCACGCGCAAAGGGGGGCACCACCTCTTCCCATACGGGGTCCCTCGGACGAACCACTGGTCGCTGTATTCAGAAGCGGACAGATCACGGCCAAACAGCGCATGGTTTCGGGGGTTGTGCGCACGCGCGCTGTGTCACGAGCTGCCCAGCGTTTGAAGCGCCATCGTAGCGCTCCAGTGACATCACCGTGAAAGCGCTCGTCATCGCCATTATCATCATCAGCCGTGATCTATCCGCCGATGGATACAGACCTCCCAAGCTGCCGCCACCCTCTCACGGTCTTGCGATGCAACAATTCATCTCGCGCTTGCGTCGATTTCAATCGGCTCCATATTCGCGGGGGCCTCACACTGACCTGGAATGAAGTCCAGTTAAGCGGCGTGGGTGCGGTGG